TCCCTACACATTCTCTTCCACTTCCTTTAGTTGTCGGCCGTGCAACCTCGCACCTTGCTGCCCCTTTCCTGCGGCTTATCCTTATTGTACAGTCATCCAACCTGCCTTCCAGCACCCTGCTGCCCCTTCCTGTAGCATATTATTACTGTCCAGCCCTCCGACCTCCATCCCAACACCCTGCACCGCCCCTTTCCAGCAGCATATTATTGTTGTCCAGTCATCCAACCTCCACCACAGCACCTTGCCGCCCCCTTTCCTGCAGCCCACCAAAGCTGTCCAACCATCCCACCGCCCGGTCACCAAACTTCTTGCATTCTCCTACCCTTCCCCACTCCGCCAGCCCACCTACCGACCTCTCACCCTCTCTACTCACTTTATAGCCTCAAGCCCTGACTCACTCCCTTATCACTGCGCCGAAGCAACCACCACCCTCGTATCTTCTCTTCCAATCCAAACCGGCGAGTTGTGTCGTCGCACATTCCTTTCCATTTTGAGTCGTGTTGTAACCCTAATTCAGTTTCAATAAAAGTTTGTTTTCGTTTTCGCCGATTTCCTAACTAGTTTTGGCATCATATTGTTTGGTATAAATATAGCTTAATATGTTTACGCTTATAATATGTGATGTATAAGATTAGTGTCTTAGGATTAGGGTTTGGGAGAGATCGTCTACCTCTCAAAATGTAGGTGTTTATCCTTCATGTAATTGAGTTGTTTTATTTTGTGTTGGTGAAGAAAAACATTTTGTTTTGCCCTAATTTCTGCAAAAGTTCATATCAAATTGGTATCAAAGCATTTGATTCTAGAAAGCAAAGAAGGGATCGCGACGCATAGGGACGACGGAACCTCGCGATACATCTGCCTCCGTAACCTAATATCATAATACAAACGTAATACAGGCTGTTGAGAAACCAATGAAGGGATCGCGGTGTATAGGATATGCCATTGTGATCGAACCTCGCGATACAGTCGTGATTCTAGCGAGCTGGAAAGACTACAACAGGATTATTGGGTACATGATATGTCATCGTGACTGAATCTCACAATAAATTCACAATTGGAGCTACCTGGGAAGCCAATGTCGTATTGTTGCATGCCCTATTTGCGATACAGTCGTGATTTGGGCGATATGTGAAACCTAAGAATAGGATCATGGCTTACGACCTTGCGGTATAGTTGTGTTTCAGGCTACCTAGGAAGCGAACAACAAGATCTCCACGCTAGGAGTTTAGTCCTCGTGATTACAAACCCATACTGGGAATAATGGCAAGCAAAAAAACAAATGCTCTAGAGAAAAAAAAAAACAAAGGAAGAGGAGAGTCAAATCAGATTTGAAATGAAGGATATTTCTTGTCCATGGAGGGACAGATGGAGAGGAGATTCATGGCCTTGGAGGAAATGATGAGGAAGATTGTGATTTTTCACACAAAACCTCATACACTCGTTGTAGGATCGAGCGACGATGCGAGTTGCAGCAATCTAAAAGATATGTGTGCCAAAAGGGCAATGTTGTTGGGTTAGGCGGATCTGGAGCTGCAGAATCAAGCGAATGAATTAGGAGCATACCGATCGATGGCACTTAAAAGGAACTACATGATATCCGGACGGCTGGAACAAACAAAAGCAGTTAAGACTGAGCGAAGGAGTCGAGAGCAGATACGAGTGGTAGCATATGGAGGGAATTACACGACATTTGGACGTTTGGAACGAGCGGCAGCAGGTAGAACGAGACGACAAGCGATTAAGTGATGGAGAAAATCGATTCTAAGGATTTTAGACTAGAACGGAGAACCGCGGTGGGTAGGACCCGACGGAGAGCTACATCCAACCAGGTCATTGCCATTTTCTATGGCAGCCTTCTGAGTGAAGGTGATACAAGAGCCTATGGGAACAGACAAGCGAATTATAGAGTGATCTGAACTTATGAAAGAAGGGAAATCAATATGGGTAAAGGAAGGGAACCCAATCCCCGCTTCATGGGTAGAATACGCTTTGGTCGAGGAAATTATGGAGGAGACTCGCGCATAAGGAAGCTGAAGATGTTAATCATTGAAGGAAAGGATGTCTATAGTTGGGTTTATTGCATGTAAAAGACTCATGATACAGAATTGGAGAAGATTCGGACACCGATCCAATAGCTCCAATAATTTGCAGAAGTTTTTCAGTTGTCACACGAATTGCCTCCTCGAAAAGAGCACGGGCATGCAATCACCTAGAGTAAGGTGGTTTCTCCTATCAATGTGTGCTCATACCGCTATCATCAAGTACAGAAGAATGAGATCAAGATTTGATTCGAGCGATGTTGGAAGTTGAGATTATAAAGACTAATATGAGTCCCTTCTCTAGCCCAATCTTTTTAGTTAAGAAAGATGAGAGTTAGTGTTTCTCTATGGATTATCGGGCATTGAATAAGTAACAATGTCTAACAATTTTTTTCATTCTAATGACCGATGAGCTACTCAACAAGTTCTTTGGGGCTGCAGTATCCACCTAAATTGACTTGAAGTTAGGGTACCAACAAATTAGGAAATGACTGAAGGATGTGCAAAAGACTACATTTCAAATTCATGAGGGTCACTACAAATTTTTTATTAACTAAAAAGGATTGTTAGATGATGAAGCCAAATGACAGTCATGCGACTTGATCCAGCAGCAATGCTAACCCTGCTACTGGCTCCCAGTAGAAAATTCTACAAGAAACCTATCAATGTTGACCATGTTCTCCTTCTTCAACCATGTCAAGGAATATAGTTGAGAATGCATCTATGTAGAAGTCACATTATTATTGCTCCCTCCATCAATGATGAGATTGCATACCATTCCTTCTATAGTGCAAAGGGAGTAGAATATGTTGTGGCGAAGCCACTGCTACTCCCCCATATCCTCAACTTGTAGGACACTCCAAAACACCAACATCTCGCCCTCATCAGGTGAGAGCTAATACTCCACTTCTTCACCTAACTCTTGGTCGCTCACTTCCTCCACTACTCCACTTTTTCACCTAACTCTTGGTCGCTCACTTCCTCCACTACCCAAGGAAAGACACAACTCAGCTCGTCACACAACCAGAAACGATGTGTCCAAAACCATGACATTTGAAGCATTTCCTGGTTGAGACTGTGTGGGTGTGCTACTCTTCTCAGGGTTCTTCTTCAATCTGAATTGTTACATCATGTTCCTGACCAATTTGCTCCACTCCCTTAGCAGTGCTACTCCTGAGGCCTCCCAATGTGGGTGTTTATTTGGCTGGCAGTGGTTGCTTACTCCTACCTCTTTGTTTTCATCGTCAAGATCTGCATATCCCTCAGTGTCCAATAGATTTGCAATTGGACCACATTGTTAATGGCAGGCTTCAAGCCTCCCAAGTACCTGACTATGGCGTGCTCCTATGACCTCATACTTCAATTGAAGCTGCATAAATTTGAGAGTTAAAAGTACATTTCATAGAGTTTTTTAGAAGTTACTCATGAACCGTATATAAATATCAAACAAAAACTTTAGATAAAACATTAAATTTAAAAGCTTCATTAACATATACTTTGCAATATGAGAAGCATCAATAATTTACTTACACAAAATAAATTGAGTAATTTTTACAAAATTGATCTACTAGTACAAGAATATAATCGCACTTTTTCAAAACTTTTTAATAGCCCTAACGCAAAACATATGTTAGCATCTTCCTAAGGCATATTAAGGATTGTAAAGGCCAATGTTATATCCGTTTTCCTTGAGCCACTTAAAAAGTTCTCTGCTGTGAAACAATTTACACTAAATTTTTTTTAAGTTGGCTAGTAATATATATCCTCAATCATAGTTATAATTTTATCCAAACCGAAACATCTCACAGCAACAGCCATAATGAGATTCAAATACAAGAAAATATATCAATGATGAATTAGAAATCTTATAAAGATGAGTCACCTTAAAAATAAAACTATCTTTGAAGAAGATAAGTTATGTGGTGTGAATGAAGTGCATACCTAATCATACTTAAGAAAAGTATATAGGAAGTGAAGTGCTTACATAGCCATTTGAGGTCTTACATCTAGGAAACTTGTGTGTCGGTGCTTTCAAGCACCAGGGAAGGAAGAGAAATGGCTTAAAAAAATTTAAGCTAGTTTATGGGCCGGTCATCTTTGCTTTAACATAGTAAACAAGGAATTACTTCTACTCTATGATCCATATCATGATAAAATATTTGTATGGCTTATTATGTTGAACGAATTTAGTACAACAAGGTGGTTGACATCTTGAATGAGAGTATAGGAAAATAACAGTACCCTATAAAAGGAACAAAGATTTGGTACTGACAAGATGAAACGACAATCTAGAAAACCAGAAATGGAGTGACAATCCAAACAATAGATGAGCAGGCAGTGCACCTAAAACCAATGTCGGTTGGATGATTGAATCATGCTAATTCTTAGCACTAATTATAAAAATGCTGATTGGCATGATAAATTCATATTAACTCCCCTTTCTATTGATTTCTTATTGTAGTAAGACCATATGCTGCCATCTTGGCTTTAGGACATGATGATCCTTTCTGATGCCATCTAAGAAAAGCATGCAGAGTGAGGTTTAGGACGAGAAGATCTTCAAACCTGAGTGAAGCTAATTGATAAGAAGACCAAATGTATGTCTTATCTATGATGTACATGTGAATGTAACTTGATATTAAGACCCTTAATTTTTATATGAGGTTGTTATGCATAAATGCCTAAGTTGATAAAGTAGAAAACCTTTATGAAACTAATTCTTAATTTTTAATGGCTCTGTTTGTGCAGTATCTTGGATTATAATTTTTGTAGTAATAATTTGCATTGGTTTGACTAAGTATTTAATTTGATCTCTCTATCTGTTCTGATTTGTATGATCAGCACAATGTGGGCTTATGCAAGTCAGGTTGCGACAGCAGCATTGTATCTTGCATACGATGAAAGTATGAATATAACTTAATGATTAAATCCTTATTTTTTGCATGAGGTGGTCTTGTGCGAAGACTAACTTCAATGAAATTTATAAAGCCACTAAACAAAAATTCTTGTCTTTTTCTGGCTATTTATGTGCTATTTTAAATGATAAAATGTGGCTTCTATATCTGATTCCATTTGTATGATTTGACATAGTGTGAGGGTTGTGACAACAACCTTGTCCCCGCACTTCAAAGAGGCTATTTACATCACTCAAAGTTAACCAATGTTTTATACCTACCCTGTTAACTTAATAATAGTCATCAGAACTTTTAAAAGTTAAGTCAAACCATAATAATGATGGAAGTTTCTTCAGAAGAAATTTGTTAAAGAAAATTTCATACCAATAAAAAAAATTATACATATATTAAATCATGACATGCTTACCCGCAGCCGTTTCTCTAATTGCAGCCTCCATGTAAGTTCTTCAACTTGCTTCTCCAGTTTATTTTTGGCAGCTTGTAGTGCACCTGTTTCTCTTGCAGCCTGAATAATAAATTTAGCAGATGTAAAGCAATTGAAGGAGGCTAGCATCATATGATCTTCAATATAAAAAATTTTTGAAACGTTTAAAATTAAGAAAAAAATGCTAAGCAATCAGAGAAAAATCTTTCCAAAATGCAAAAAATTGTTCAATCCAGAATTTAAAACAGGCGATGAGAGGGACATTATACAAGAATACCAAAAGAAAGAGAAGAATACCAATCCCTTATATTGTAAATTGCTTATTATGACTTGCAAAACACTCCTTCCCCCTCCAACCAGAATCCATTGAAGTGCAATGAAGGGCAAGCGCAAGTGCTACCAAAATAAAAAATAAGATAATGTGCAGACCACACTATATTTATATTTGACTAGCAAAGTGCCATTCAATAGTCCAGTGAGACATCAGAAATGCAACGGGAAGTCATATTAACCAATTTCAACATCGTTTCAACAACATGTGAAATCATATCAATCAATTCAAAAATATTTCGCAAAATTTCTGGAGGTAATTAATTATGTGGGGTATATCATTAACCTTATCCCTAACTGCTATTGGGGGTTGGCTTTATGAATCTTCATTTTCTATTCATTTCTGTTGATTTTTTTTTAGAAATCCTTCTCAACAAGCTTTAGACATCTATCATTGGCCTATCATTATTCTTTCTAATCCTCATGCATAATGCCAACTACCTTTTTAATTAGTATCTTTTCTAACATTTATCATACCTGCATTTTCTAAAATTTATTATACGTATCCCACAATTTAAGCATAATTCCACTGACTTATGTTTAATAAGAGCTATTCACATCATCTTTATATTAGCCAACTCTCATCCACATGATCATATCCTCTTATTGTAGCTTCCCAATGTGGTCACCCATCCGAGCTCCACTCCAACACAAGTACTCTTAAATATGCAGTTCTTGATTAAAATGATGCTGTTACATCAAAAGGCTCTGTGACACTTATTAAAAGCTTGTAGCTTAGACCTGTACCTCTTGATAAAATATATAGGATGTGCTTCAATCCTCATGAAAAAAACATAAGAGAAGTGGCCACTATAAGTTCAACAGACGTAATGCCATGCGGGCCCCCTCTTTAACCCATTTTGGAAGGAGTGAAAAAAATGAAGTGCCTTCTGATGCCAAGGTTGATGCTTTGTCAGGAACTCTACAATAAAACCTGTTCATGGTGAAATATTCCTCGAAAGGATGACCTTCGTAGGAAATTATGCTAATAGGTTAAACTTTGACAAGCTAAAGGAAACAACTTGATGGATTAGATTTCGAATTCTGACAATCATTTCCTAATCTTCCTAAAACATCCTAATCTCTGACACAATGAAATCGGCCATATGTGACTTCCTTCTCACCCAATATACATAGAAATTACTTCTACAAAAATTAATTTTAAGTATCAATGTTATTCTCCTACCACATAATACTCATAATCCACTACTCAATTTTAACTCTAGTAGGTATGCACTCTTTGAAATTCTCATATTTTGTACAATAACACCAAGATGACTTAATATTATCATAACTTAGCATCACTTGATCTTCCAATTATATTATTTAATAATTTAAAACTTCGCATACTAACATTACAAATTATATAGTTGGACTTTGTTCCATCAATCCTCTTCTAAAATTTTTTTTATTGCACAAATTTCATTTTTATTGTCACACCAATGAAAATACTTAGATTTTGAAAATAGCATAAACTAAACTATCTCAATACTTCTTTTTTTCTCCTCCGCCCCCTCCCCCTCTCTTTATTTATTTATTTATTTGTAAAGATAGCCATAGATAAAACAATAAGGTACAGAGTTAAGTTTACTCTTGATACAATTTAGTTGTAATTAGGATCTCTTTAATCACACAACTGTTTCTAACGCCAACAAATATCTAAAAATAAATAACAGTAATCGATACTCTGTCTATTTTAGACAATTCTAACACTTAATGGAAAATAATTTAATTTTTGTAGTATTTGACTTTCAAGATCAAAACCAGACGAACATTATTGCATTGCTCTCAATATTTCTCAATTAACTTCCTTGACACAACAATCACATTCATAAAATATTATCTTATAATAAAATCAAATCTATTATTGAATATCAATGATATTTTTTAAGCCTAATTTTCATAGCTTTATGATATGAAAGATAGGTTCAACTCCCATATAGTAATATTAACAACATTTTCATATCAAATACTAGCACCAAACTACTACTTCTCCAATCATTTAGCTTCCATTCATTCCTTAAATTCACCAATCTACGCCAAGGCTCTAGTAAGCCTTCACATAAACCCAAAACTTTATCTTTATGCATCATATCAGCAATTAACATCAATTTTTGGTTCACTAAACTATATTACATAATTTTATTTATATGCTCCCGCAAAAAGATGTCAGAATCAATACTCTCATTAATCATTTTCATAGTATTTAACTATTTTAATATTTCTAATGTGCTTATTTTTAACTAAAACCTTATCATCTTAATTTTTAATTATAATCATTTGATCGAAGTCTCGAGAGTACAGATATTCGAGCACCAATATTAAATAGTTTATAAATATTATTCTCCTTAAGGCAGATTTTGTTACCTTAAAAGCACATTTCTTGCCATAAATTATTTAATAAGTGAAAACACATAAAACCCATAGGTTGCGTTTAGAGGAAACATGGGATTCTGATTATAATCTACCAGTAATATAGTAACGCCCACGTAGCCAAGAACAGCCATATAACCACGTAAACGAAGATTTGTGGCAACAATGCATGGCAATGGTAATGTTGATAGTTCAAACATGAACATTTGACTAAAAAGGGTAAAACTGTTAATTTCTGCATTTACGGCAGCAGAATAAACTCAAAACCAAACTTCATTTACTCAATAAAACGTTAGTGCTGTAACAGCTCCCCAAGGATAAATAGAATTTACTAAAACAGCTCACCATTTTCAGGTTTTTAAGCTCCCGTCTAGCCATTCTGGCCCTCCAAGCGCATTGGGTAGTGATAGCAGCCTTCTTTATTCTTGAATACTGTAACCTTGCTAAAAATTGTCGGCAATGGCTCTGGAAATGAAGAAAAATAATTTTACGAAAATAAAAAATAAAAGGTAAAATTCGCAAAACATGGATGCTATGAAATATAAAATTATACAAAATCCTGCATTTAAATTGATTCAGGGAAAAGAAAAAGCTTCAAATAGTTTTGTATCACAGCTTTCACAGCAATGAACAATGCTAATAGATAATATTCATAGCAACTGCATGCCACAAGGATCCATTGGCTAGATGAATGTGCAAGCCGTGGAAGTAATATTTGTTCTTGTTAATACCACATAACTTAGTAGTCACCATTCCATGAAAGCTATTTGTAGTTCAATAATAAGAATGCAGAAAAATAGGCATAAATGAATCTTCCAGATATTATAACCATTGCCACTATTAGCACTAGTCCATTTACCTGGATTACAACAGCAGCTTTAGTCTGCCTTCTAAATTGAATTTCTTTACGAGCAGCCATGCCACGTATGCCAGTTTGAATGGTAACAGAGGCAGCAAACACTCTTTTGTAAGCTTTTCTTGCAATATACATGCGAATATTTCTCTGAATCTTCAAAGCAGCAGCATTTCTACGCATATTCTCATAAAACTCCCTTCCAAGACATCCTACAAAAGCGTTATTATGAGACATCACATGTACCTTTTTATATTGAGATCTAGGAACCATGGTATCTCAAGTATTTTGTAAGCTGCCAAATCAACTACTATGGATGGAGACATTGACTCATATTACCTCTGCATGAAGCTTGTAGATGTATAGCTGCTTTGCGAAGTCCGATGAAACTTCTCCGGGCCAAATATGATCTAGCTTTCCTTTGAATTATGCGTGCAGATCGTCCTAAAACTTCAACCCTGCGAGTATCTAATTCAGCAAGCTGACCAGCTCGAAGAAACACTTTTGTCTTCCCAATCTGCATTTAAGGAAACATCATGCAGGTATATCTACTAACGATGAAGATGACATCAGGTTTAATACTACAACAACAAAGAATTAATCCCACTATGTGGACATCAGGTTTAATGTCCTCTAATAGTCAGAGCACATGGCAATAAGCAACTCAATAATAAGAATGACATTGGAAGATAAAGATACCGTCCTGAACCTTTTTCTATGTTTAATTACCCAAACAACCTAACGTAACTATCTTTTAATTTCAGATTAACAGATATTGGATAAAAACATATTCACCACTTCATCACAATAGAGCCCACCCTTCTGTTTTTTTTTTTTTTTTTTTTTTTTTCTATGGACATATAAAAATTTTGGAAATGCGAGAACAGAAAAAAATATCAGAACTCCAAGATTCCATGAGCCAATGCATACGACATTGGATGAGTAATGGTTTGCAACTTAACTAACAAGTTCATTCTCTTAAATGCACAATAAGCAAAGTAATAACATAAATAATTGAAATAAATGTCAATATCCCTTTATCCTAAGTATTTAGGCTTAGCATTATAAATCCTCATTTTAAATTTGATCCCATCAATTATTGCATGATGTGCTCAACCTACTTTGCACAAACCTTTTTTTAGCAATTCCAAGTATCCACTTAAGAAAAGCCAACACTTGCATGTGGGCCTCCTTGATGCATAAATAAGAAGACTTGGAAAGTCAATTTTGTTGAGTTAGAATAGTTTAATTTTAAGTAGAATTTCCACATTCTTTTTTCAAGCAAGCGCTTGCAGGTACGGGGTGGGGGATCACAATTAATCTCCACTAATGCAAGAGAGCACTCTTGACTAAGAAGGTTTTTATACTAATAGGGTCAATTTTAGCATCGAAGTTTGAAGATGGTTGATAGAAAATGACTAAAGATTAAGAAGGAAGTTTGAAGATGGTTGATAGAAAATGACTAAAGAAATGGAGGTAGTTACAATCAAGATCTCAGATATAAACATTAACCCAATTCACCAACATCTGATGGTTTTGCGCCATAATAACCAAATAATTTGTTTAGCAACAATGGAATTGTCTCGTTTCTGGTATCCCAAGAAAAACATGGAGGAAATACATGTATATGTCAAAGATGTACCTCTGAGATTGATGTCAACTTGCTTCTTGGTAAAGAGTTGATCATGTTAATTTCATTGAAGAGTTCATAGGCACAAAGCAAGGTCATTTATGGTTCAAAGGTACAGAATATGACTAGCAAGAACTTAAAGGCATAGCAAAACCATCAAGTATTAGTTTGACTCAAAGAAGAAGAGATTTTGTCTAGTTTAAATGTTAGATTTAATTTTAATTGGTGGGCCTATTAGCATGAGAGCAAGCCAAGTTTATGTTAATTGGGGCCTACATCCAATAGTGAGGATAGAAATTATTTTATTTCATGAGTTTGTTTGCTTTGTGACAGGTAGGTTAGTGAGGTCAAGCGCATACATTCATTGGAAGGCTCATAAGTTTGATTTAATAAGTTTGCTGGTTCATGCAAACCCAAATTAATTAGGATTGGATCAACATGCTTGTGAATAAGAAGGCCAAATGATGGACCTTTACAACCTTAACGCTAAAATAGGAAAACATGATTAATTAACATTGATTTAATGGGGCTTATTAGCTTCATGTTAGTCCAATAAATTACATTGTAACTTACATAAAATGGAAGGTCTTGTGTGAGACTTTCAACCCCATTGGAGGAAAGCACAATGATGGATCCCATGATCTTACCCTCTAGCACGATGGCCCAATTAATCAAGTTCAGTCTGACTTACTTTTGACAAAGTGGATAATTTAGCATGCATGATGAGATGATGGATTCACTAGGACCCTTGGATTACTCAGCATATGGCGAGATCAAATTTGGGTCATGCCGTGTCTGCCAGATCAATCGGATCAACATCACTTGAATCAAAGTTTTAGTGATATTTATTGTTTCGCAAGAAAAAAAATGTTCAATGACTTCTGAGAATTGGTTCAAGTGACGTCATAGCTTTTCTTTTGCTATGCCTTTGAGTTCTTGCTAGTTACAATCAAGATCTCAGATATAAACATTAACCCAATTCACCAACATCTGATGGTTTTGCGCCATAATAACCAAATAATTTGTTTAGCAACAATGGAATTGTCTCGTTTCTGGTATCCCAAGAAAAACATGGAGGAAATACATGTATATGTCAAAGATGTACCTCTGAGATTGATGTCAACTTGCTTCTTGGTAAAGAGTTGATCATGTTAATTTCATTGAAGAGTTCATAGGCACAAAGCAAGGTCATTTATGGTTCAAAGGTACAGAATATGACTAGCAAGAACTTAAAGGCATAGCAAAACCATCAAGTATTAGTTTGACTCAAAGAAGAAAAGATTTTTTGTCCATTTTTAAATGTTAGATTTAATTTTAGTTGGTGAGCCTATTAGCATGAGAGCAAGCCAAGTTTATGTTAATTGGGGCCTACATCCAATAGTGAGGATAGAAATTATTTTATTTCATGAGTTTGTTTGCTTTGTGACAGGTAGGTTAGTGAGGTCAAGCGCATACATTCATTGGAAGGCTCATAAGTTTGATTTAATAAGTTTGCTGGTTCATGCAAACCCAAATTAATTAGGATTGGATCAACATGCTTGTGAATAAGAAGGCCAAATGATGGACCTTTACAACCTTAACGCTAAAATAGGAAAACATGATTAATTAACATTGATTTAATGGGGCTTATTAGCTTCATGTTAGTCCAATAAATTACATTGTAACTTACATAAAATGGAAGGTCTTGTGTGAGACTTTCAACCCCATGGGAGGAAAGCACAATGATGGATCTCATGATCTTACTCTCTAGCACGATGGTCCAATTAATCAAGTTCAGTCTGACTGACTTTTGACATAGTGTATAATTTAGCATGATGATGAGATGACGGATTCACTAGGACCCTTGGATTACTCAGCATATGGCGAGATCAAATTTGGGTCATGATCAATCGAATCAACACTTGAATAAAAGCTTTTAGTGATAATTATAGTTTCGCAAGAAAAAAAAAAATATGTTCAAAGGCTTCTGAGAATTGGTACAAGTGAAATAACATAGGGTCATAGCTTCTCTTGTTTCTTAAAAAAGCATAGAACATAAAAGCTTGAAATTAGTGAATGTACTCATTAGGCTTTTTTTCATTTCTTTATTGTGATACGATTTGACCTCGAAATCGACACAAATTTAACACATTTTTTATTGCAATTCAAGAGCTAAGTAATCTCTCCCAAACCCTAGATCTAATACTCACAATCCAATCTCATGCATAAACCTAACCTTAAATATAATAAGCATGTTTATACACAACAATAATAATAATAATAAATTAATTGCCCTTAGTTGTATAAAAGATAAATTTGCCCTTTGGGCTTGTCCTCAAGGTGAGAAAAAATGAGTGTACCTCCTCCCCCACAACTGTCTTTTTTTCTTCATTCTCTGCTTTCTCGTCCTGCACTATAAGACTTTGTAATCTTCGATCTTTGCGCTGGTGACCTAGAGTAAACTTCTCATTACACTGAAAACATAATCCCTTAGCTCGTTTCTATCGAATCTCTATCTCTATAGGGCCCTTGAGTGTTTCTCCCAGCCGTTATCCATTATTCATGTTCCGTGCAACCTCCCTCTGGACTTCCATTGTCTGAAATTTTGGAATCTTTGTGGTTGTACCAGTTCCGTATGACGCTCCATCTATGTGCTCCTGTTGGTTTTTTTCATATGGTTCTCGTCTTCCACCATCTAGGCTAGCTCCATCATCTCCCTCAATCCTCGCAATCTTAGTAGTTGGAGTGCTACCCATAGGTCAAGCTTTAAGCCCTTCATGAAATTCCCCTCCAGTCCTCCTTCAAAAATCCTCCACAGTCGTCCCGACAATAGTTCAAATATTTCTCTATAATCCATGGAATGTCTTCATCTAGAATGGCTCGAAACGTTCCAACAAAAAATCCTTAAATTCATCCCATGATAAAAATTACTTTATTTCTGGTAAAGGAAAGCCTTAGCTTGGTTTAAGTGAGGATAGAAATTACTTTATTTCTAGTCTCACTCCACTTAAACCAAGCTAAGGCTATCCTCTCCAAATACAATCATACCACCATGAGTTTCTCCTCTCAATCTAGCCCTCCGTGAAGTATTGTTGTGCCTGATACACCAACCCATATGCGTCTTTCCCCTCAAAGATTGGCATCTTTAACTTCCTACTTCTAACATCTCCGCCCAATCTTTCTCTTCCAACGTTGTTACCCCCCATGTATCAAGGGTAAAACTCATTCGACCGTGGTGATATCCCCTCCTTGCTTCTCTCCCTTTTTCGTGCTCCTACATACAACTGACATAATCTCTTCTCCATGTTTCGGCCCAACTGCCTCTATTAGAAATCTCTAATCCACGCCTAATTGGAGCCCTAAGAGATGGTTCGCGATGATGGATGTTTTCCTCCTTTCCTCACACTCGATCTCTTTAAATTTCGATCTTGCCACGGATTCTCCAGTCAACATTTGGTTAGGCTTTGCAAATTGAGCTTGGAGTGCATCTCAATGAGTCTCTTTACCATCTCTCAAAATTTCCCCAAGCTCTCAAATCAATCCTTGAGTCGGTTCTCCAAAGAAGAAAACATCTCTTCTATGGTGGCAAACTTTTCTTTCATCCCAAATTTTATTTGACTCATCTCTTCCTCCAATTTCTTTTCTAGATCATATACTTTCTTTTCTACCATCTATTTCAGAACAAATTGTTGATCTCAAAGAAAAAATTTTTATACCCTGAAAGCCCATTATCTCTCATCAACTACTCTTATCACAATTGTACCTAAAATCAGTGTTTCCAAATCACGTCAATCCCGTTGTCACTTCTGATGTACAATCTACCGCGATTGTACACGCACAAATCGACGCGATCCTAAAATATGGGAGCTTCGGGTCTCTGTTCTCCACGATCCCAAAAGCTTCGGGCC